CCAAGTACTGAATGAAATGTTTTTTACAGTAGCTGCGGTCTCACAGAGCTTAGTTTTACCTTTCTCTAATGTTTTGCATTTCATCGCGTTTTAGTGAATGTTAATTTTTCTTCAAAATAATAAAGTTTAAGTTAATTTGAATCCAGAACTCTTGTACTTAAGTAATACTCAGTTTTCTTCTACGATTATCCTTCATCTTTCTTTCGGACACATGAACTTAGTCAGGTGATGTGAAGAACAGACACCTTCCGTTACTCCAACTATAAAATCATAAAGGAAAACTTAAAGCACATTGTAATAGTGTAGTTGAAAGTCGTCTGATAAGTATAAGTATACTCGTAGATGTGTACACATCGCCGAAATAGTGGGTAAACGCAAACCAATCTGTTTCGGTTTATGACAATTTCCTAAATAAAATAATTTGGTCCGTATTGCGACTCTTACAAGAAATAACCTGTAGAAACCAGTATTTGAAATATCCCAAAATGTAAATGACTCTTCGCGTTCGTTTAAAATCCGCTTTTTATCGTGGTTGGGAGTCAATTGGTTCCATGCTGGAACATGTTCAATGCATTTGCCTATTTGTATCGTAGCATCGGCTCCCGACTGAGTGAAATCGAGACGGCAGATGGCGAGCCGCTCCGCTGGTTTAGCAGGTATCTGATGCGCCATGGAGCAGCCCGTTGACTGCCCGCGTCCGAGCTTTGACTGGGGCCCAGGAGTTGAAGATCACACAGATGCGCCGCTGGCCTAGGAGAAACCGCGAACCGCGCCTCACGCACGGTTCAAAGAGGCTCATTCAAAGAGGAAGATCTGTATCTGGGTGTCCACGCTCCAATCCGTAGTTTTTAACATGACCCCAGCGGATCAATACGTTCGTTTAATCATATATCGTGATGCCACGTTCCAGCATTTGATAACAATATTCAATTGACGATAAATTTAAATGTACACTCAAAAGAGATAAATAGAGAACAACGAGCCTAGAAGTTTAATATATCAGTAAAATTTTCCAGCCAAATGTCTACCGTTCACTTTTCAAAAAAAAAAAAAATACAAATCAAATAAAACATTTGAATCACTTCCAATTATTTAGTGGTACCATTGTACTTCAGTTGCAATTCACTCTTTTCTGGTTTATTTCAACATTTATATTTTTCTGTTGTTTATTTAAGAAATATTCATGTTTTCTGTGTTTTGAAAATTTGATTTTTGCTATTTGTTTTTCAAAGTAGATCACTTTGTGCAACTTAATTATTCACTGCTTGACAGCTTATGTGTGTAATTTCTAATGATATTCGATGATGATATATGATGATATTCTGATATTCGCATGTAATATTCAACGTATCTTAACTGATCACCTTTTGTACATTTTCACATTTGATTCATGGAATTATACGGACGTCTACAGTACCCTTTCTTACTTTGTTCATAATATTAATCCAATTTGTATACTGCAGGGAGTTTATAATGTGGGATACAATAATTACTGGACTCCGACGACATGAGTAAACAACATATAAAGGCGATCGGGTAAAATAAAATTCAGTACATATTTTGTAAATGTTTCAATATTATACAATTTTCATACAAGGATGACTATTCAGAAAGGCAGCAGTCTGATATAATAGCAGTAGTTATTTATTTATTTGGCAGGTAATACTTACATTAGACATATTTAGAACGCTTGAGGTAATAACTCTTACTACAAAGTGCTACGAAGGTATTCCCATTTTCTTAAAATTCAAACGTATGAATTTTATCAAAGTGAGTATTCGTTATTAATGAAACTATTTGCAAAGGACATGAATATGAAAGTAGTTTCTTTATAATATACCAAAACTGGTATCATTCAAACATACATCGAAGATTATTGCAATATTTGTGAAGAGGAAATAAGGATGCTATGCTGACGAAACTATGCTTTTTCTTTCTTCTTCAATTACGAAATTGTTTGTTTTGTCAAAAATGATTTACTCAGGGATGAGAACATACTTTCGACAAACATCGATGTCTATAACTAACACACTCGACGTAGTAATCATATTCATGAGTTGTCAGTATCAACAGCTCACTATCAAAATTCACATACAATACGTGTACAATATTTTACAATACATTTGCCAAATGACATTACTCGATTAAAATCAATATCAGTTTAAATCTCAAGGAAAACGTATTTGCTGCATTAACTATTTCTATACAATCAGAGAGTATGCTGTGCATTAAAAACAAAATTAATATTGTTATTAACAAAATATTTAATGAAATATTTACCATTTGGATTGTATAATTTTAAAAGACTAAATATGTCTGTAACAAATATTATATCCTCAGGTTTGGGGTCAATGACTCTCATCGCGATCAGGTTTTTCGTGCAGTTTCCTTGATCGTGTGAATGAACGTTGTAAGATGGAGCGTTGAATTTTCTCTGGGGGTAAATGTAACATCACTATCATTCCATATCTTCTAAAGTTTAGTAGGAAATATAGTTATTCAAATTATCGTTCTTTATATTCTCATGGCAGAACGTCAATATCTTCACAAAAGGCACGGTGATGGTTAATAGCAAAAATCTGTAGCTTATTTGTCTTTTCAAATATTTATTATTGCACCGGAGCGAATATTTTCTTACCAATTCATGCCAAATCGCTAATTTCCATCTGTATTCTTAAATTATCTTGAATATGGCTTGTGATACAGAAATCAGTTTATTAAAAAAACGTGCACAGAATCCAGAGCTCCCTGTGGTACGTCAATTAAGTTTTAAACGTTTTTTTGGCGTTAAATAAATAAAACAAGTGAACTTAACTTGACATAACATAACATAACATAACATAACATGACATAACAAAACAAATACGTTTTTCTTGACGGTGCGCGCTAGCACCGTTTAAACTTTTATCTAAGGTACCTACTCGGCTGCCCGTAAGACTCCGAGTCTGAGGCATAGATGCCAACGTTTCGACCGTTATGCTGCGATCTTTAGGCTTTTGGGCTCTAGCAGGGTCTCAACATGACGGCCGAAAGACTGGGATCTGTGTCAAGAACGCGGCGTTTCCCGGACCGTCAAGTAGAGCCTACACTTCTGCTTACACTTTCATTCTATCCTATACTAGCAAAATATTCAACGTGCCCCAAACTTCTTTCTTATCCAATCCTCGTGAAACAGGAAAGAATCAATTTTATATAAATAACGCTGTTTAAGATAGGTTATATTGTAATTGGATAAAATATATTAATAAAATACAATTATTTTCTTTCTTTTTTTATTTTACACTTCACTGCTCTTAATGTTTTAAATTCTTACGCACTGCTACTGGCCTCTCGCGATTCAATTATGTACTAGTTCTGTTGCACCGATACTGTCCAAAAAATAACGATTGTGGTGCAATTAGCCACAGATTGATTATATGATTTATGAATTTGTGTTGTATTATCAAAATTTGCAAGAACACTGCGACAAACCTGAAGAGCCTGTGTGTCTATTCATATACTACTTTTTGTTATGTCTATATCCCTTACATGTCGTTTTTTTAGTATAGTTCAGGGGTATGCAACGTTTTTGTAATTGAGGGTTCCATTGTCAACTCCCAATAGCTTGCGCATATGTCTCCAACTTATTTTTCATTTAAGAAATTTAATGTATTAGGTTTCAATTCAATAGTTTTATTTGAACTGTTTCAAAACGAGCTTGGGAACCACGTACAATACTACAACAAAGTGACACTTAAAGGGTTCATTAACACAATTTAATAAGACAATAAATACCATTACAAGAACAGTTCAGGAAAGGCCAGTTAGTGCGATGTTTGAGTATGAATTTTGGTCGCAGGTTTCACAATATCAACGTTGGAGTGCACTTACTTGAAAGTTAGTGTAAAGTGGAGAGAGAACCTTCACGCCACCTGAGATCACAAATACGGTCACAGACTTCCTCGACCGAAATCATTTGAAGGCTCTCTGCGGTCCAGATGACGCTGTGACGAGGGCAGTGATGATGACGCTTTTATCATCCCATCGTTGTCTTTCTCAGGGATGGAGTGTGTCAGGATAGTAATCCCGAACACCAACCATCCTGGAGCACTCCATCCGTGAAGAAGACCACGATGGGATGGTTGAAACGTCATCATCACTGCCCTTGTCAGAGCGTCATCCGGACCGCAGAGAGCCTTCACATGAGATGGCTTGGCGGGTTGAGATTTGCAAACCCCTGGTACAAATGGTCTTACTGAAGTCGTAGGCTTCCGCGGCCGGAGTCATGTAAATGATCTTGTCTGTCCGGGTGACGCCGCGTCGGAGGCTGTGTTGCCGACGTTTCGACCATCTTATCGTGGTCTTCTTTGCAGACCAGCCCTGAAGAAAAACACGATAAGGTGGTCGAAACGTCGGCAACACAGCCTCCGACGCGGCGTCACCCGGACAGCCAAGATCATTTAAAAGATCGTATTGGTTGCGAAGGGGCTGTAAGTGTTGTGCGGTGTGTAACGCACGAGTGTGTGTGGTGTCTGCCGGCCGGAGGAGGGCCGTGTGCGATGGCTTGACAGGCCTTGGCACAGATGATCTGAACGGCTGTGAAGTGAAAATGCAGTTGTAACTTAAAGCGTGTGTGTGTGTTTTATGCGCAGGCGCGGGAGAAGGGCCGTGTGCGATGGCTTGGCATAAATGATCTGAATGGCTGTGAAGGGGTCATGTAGTGTGTAATGTAAATCGTGTGTGTGTGTGTGTGTGTGTGTGTGTGTGTGTGTGTGGTGTCTGTAGGCGCCGGAGGAGGGCCGTGTGCGATGGCGTGGCAGGCCTTGGCATAGATGATCTGAATGGCTATGAAGGGGCCAAACAGTGAGTAACTCAAAGCCTGTGTGTGTGTGTTTGGTGTGCACAGGCACTCGAGGAGGGCCGTGTGCGCTGCCTTAGCATAGATGATCGGAATGTCTGTGAAGGGGCCACGCAGCGTGTAACGCAAAGTGAGTGTGTGTGTGTGTCTGTTGTGTGCGCAGGCGCCGGAGGAGTGGCTGGCGGAGACGATGCCGCTGCGCGAGGAGGCGGACGCGCAGGGGCTGGTGACGCGCACGCTGGGCCTCACCTTCGCCACGGAGCGCCGCTTCTTCCAGGGCCCGCACGACACGATGGCGCTGCGCTGCGTGGCGCGCGTGGGCGGGCGCGAGCGCCAGCGCGTGGTGGCTAGCGCGCTCGCCACGCTCTCCAACCACACCATCAGCGCCAGCCGACGCTTCAACTCCGGTCAGTCAGCCCCGCCCCCTCCCTCCCAGATAAATCCCCCACTCGCCAAGCGAGGAGCGGATTTATCTGAGAATTTCCAAAGCCCTAGTTGTATTCAATAGGACTATTCCACGAGAGAAATTATGCCAAACAGTTCCAAATTACGCCAAATATTGAAATATTGAAATCAAGGTTAAAATCAGCTTCATACGCGGTCAGTCATCCCCGCCTCGCAGCGGCCAGGCACCCCCTCCCTTCCTCCTCTTAGGAAATCACCGATCAATCCCCCCCACTCGCCAAGCGGGTAGGGGATTTATCAGAGAATTTCCAAAGCCCTAGTTGTATTCAATAGGACTATTCTACGAGAGAAATTATGCCCTACAAATTACGCCAAATATTGAAATATTGAAAGCTAGGTTAAAATCAGCTTCATACTCGGTCGGGCAGCCTCGCCTCGCGACGGCCAGGCACCACCTCCCTCCCTCCTCTTAGGAAACCAGCGATAAATCCCCCACTCGCCAAGGGAAGAGGGGATTTATCTGAGGATTTCCAAAGCACAAGTGATATTTAATAGGACTATTCCACGAGAGAAATTATGTCCTACAGTGCCAAAATACGCCAAATATTGAAATATTGAATATTGAAATCTAGGTTAAAATCAAACAGCTTCATACGCGGTCAGTCAGCCCCGCCTCGGAGCGGCCACTCGCCCTCTCCCTTCCTCCTCTTAGGAAATCACCGATCAATCCCCCTTAAGATAGATGAGTCGCAGTTTATGATTGGCCAGTGGGAAGAAGCATTAAAAAAATCGGATAGGAAATGAATGTGGTAAACATTCGAGATCCACCGCCCTAATTGGGGCATTTTGTATGTATAGTTAAACATTATTGGTTTTCATTTCACGGAATAGTCATCGGTAATACCATGAGTGCTTAGCAATTTGTCGATAAATACCCAACTCGCTTTGCGACGAGAGGATTTATCTGAGAATATACAAAGAATGGCTGGTATTTATTAGGACTGTTAGACTAATTAAATTTCGTCCAACAGAGTTCCAAAATGCACTAAATATTGAAAATAATTAATTCCAAGTGCATTTCAAAATCAATGAGGTTATGTTATAGAACTTATGCATACGCGGTTTATTGGACATCGACATACCGCGTCCTAAAGTAAGCGAGTCGCAGTTTATTATTGGCCAGTAGAGAATGGCGGTAACAAAAACCAGTTAGAAAGAGCGATAATGTTTTTGTGTTACAGCGCACTTATTGAATCGTATTATATCCATACTTAAACATAGGTTTTAATTTCAAGAGTGGAAAAGTCTCAGAATGTACTTTACTTACAACTTTGAATTGTTCACAGAACATTATATACCATTCAATTTTATTTGTAATTTGTTTACAAGCCTATCCTATTACTAATTTATATGTGTACTCACAGCTTAATAGTATACAAGTTTAATTACAAATTACTTCCGATAAAACAAGTAGTACAGTCGTCAATTGGTTTCTAGTACACATTATTTTACAATTGTTTTGACTTTTCTTGATTAATTTAATGCGGAGGATTGAAGATAAACAAAACTCACAAACAACATAATATACAAGAAATGAATATAACACAAAATGCAGTAGCACAAATGCAAATACATTAACACAAGGTACTCGTAAAATATTTAAACAACAAAACATACAAACATATTCAAAACAACCTGTACCAAGTGGTACAGTAATATTATATATTACAATAGGATATCGTGAAACCGTTTTCCAGAATTTTAAAAAAGAATACAAACTAATTTTAACAACTAGACACATTAATGCACAATTCGAAAAATGTTGCGATCTATGTCATTGTTTTGAAGGCCCTCAGTGGCTCGTGGTTTAGCGTTGCTCTTCACGACGCAACCCTGGCTTCGATTCCCGGTCGGGGCAAAATTATAACTGCGCATTTTCCCTATATGAATGTCCCATTATCTATTGGTGTGTGATGATGAGAAATACCTCCCTAAGGTTAAGAAGAGCACTATATACGGTGGAGAGATCTCCTCGTGCTAACCACATAAAGTCCATATCTCATGGCCGAGAGGCTGGGATAACCGCTGGTCTCTCAAAGCCCGTATTAGGCTATCGAGCCAAAGGACAGGACATATCATTACATTGTTTAAGTAGCTCAGTTATATATATATATATATATATATATATATATATATATATATATATATATTACTGAGTAAAGTATACTTCTTTAAAAACCCGTAGTTCTTACTTCATAAACACAGAACAGATGTAAATAAATCAATATTTCTGTATGACACTAAAAAATTAAAGAAGTTACAATTGTGACATTTTCACCAATGAATAGAGCCTCTTATAATATTCTATAGTCACAGTTATGTTAGATACTTAGATGTACGAATAAACAAATATAAAGAATCTTAACAAAAGAAACACGCCCATATCATGCTGTAAAGATAAACACCCACTGGTATCCCAATTTTTCAATAAACGTCATATCACTGTGTTCAGCAAAGCCTAAATAATTTACAATCTAAATTTTTGTTAAAATGTGTAAATGATCATGTTGTTGCTGTCAGACTCCCCTTAGCAATCTCCTCCCAGCAGCTCTGCTCACCGTTCTACCCTACAAGCCCCTCCACACCCCGTTACCTGCCACAGCTCCAATTAGCTCTTGGCATGTCAGCTCCTCACATGTGTGATAAACATGTTGTAAGTATTTAACTGGGGATCGATTGATTAGTGTTCGATGTTTGATGTCAAGCTCTCATCAAGTTTCTCATTATATATTCATTGGCGAATACGTATATTTTATGTCTTCGCTGCGTTCGCATGCCGTATTAAATAATGATTCTATTCTGAGACTCCTTCACTTTTGTGTCAACTCCATATATGATACTATACTATATAATAATATACTCTAATATATATTACTCTACTATACTACTATACTATAATATATATATATATACAAGAGAGAGATTAAATAGAGTTTGCTACATTTCTAGAACTGAAAAGTCTCTCTTTCAATTTTAGCTCATCATAACATTTTACTGAACGTAATTCAAAATTAGTTCTAGACTCTCCAAAAAAACCTATGCGCTTTCGGATGTTTGCGGTTCAACGAATCACTCTTTGATTTTCCTTAACAAGCTGTCTGGTGAAATATCAAAGGATTCTTTTGATTCCGGAAGTTCAGTTTTTCGGAATGTCATTACGCCCTTTCCCATCTCCGCCACGACGCCCTCCCACTCGTATCCCTCGTGCTTTGCAAACTTCCTCCTTCAACTCTGCTCCTCCGCACCGATTCTTATCTCTGCACTAAACAGATCTCACGCCCGCACGCCTTGAATAATCCTCTTTTAACTCCGCCCTCCTTTCCCCCACTCGTTAGTGCCTCTGGAGGCCACCGCAGCGCCGCAGTCGCCGGCGCTTGCGTGCCACGGAGCTCCCACGAGAGGGGTATTGAAAGCGAAGAAGATTTACGACGAAATCCTCTTGTTTAAGAGCTCTGTGCGCGAAACGATGATTTCTTTAAGATGTTCCCAGGCGTTTCGAGCTTTCCGTCTTTCCTTCTTCTGCGAGAGCTCGACAGAGGGTGGAAGGAACGGTCGTTTAATGATGTACGAGAGCCGTTGAGGGAAAGAGAGCGACAGAAGAAAAAAAAATGCGGAGTCTGTAACTTTAAGACAACTAATTTGTTACGAGAAAGTTACCGAAATAACGGCCTCGCGGGAGCCAATGTCGGAGGTCGTCAAGTGTTGCGCAAATGACTTACGACGGCGGCGTCGGCGGCAGTGTTGTCCCCTCTTTCGCCCACGCCGCCCCTGTCCCGGCCTCCGGCGCTCTCTGCAAGGATTTATTGCTCATTTATGCGTTTGACGCTCGTAAATGCGTTAGCTCTTCTGCCCCGTTCGCCGGCGACTGCCGTTCCCCTCCAGGCCTCTCCGCGGGCGTCTCTCTGCATGGCGAGTGCTGCCCCCGAGTCGCCGAAACGGAGTGTTATTACCGCGGGAATATGGAAATGATGGTTCGTTATTTTCTGAGAAGCGTTAAGGGGTGCGACATTTGTTGCCAGATTATGAAATCTTCGCGCATTGTTTATTTTTATTGCAATCCACTATTACTTTCAATATAAGTTTTGGTTGAAGAATCCCCGCATTACAAATTCCTCAAATTCTCGTCATTGTGAATCCCCTCTTTTGTCTTCAAAAATCTCAAAAATTCACGTGCTGGCGATCGTCGTTAAAAACATTCCAAATTCTAATGTTTCGTGTAAAACGGATATTGTCTGATTAGAGTATCCGGGCACAGCAAATGTTGTGATCAATACTTCCGTTAATCTAGAAAATGTTTATATCGGGAGGTGGCGGTGTTCATAATCGTTGGATGATGAGATCTGTGATGATTTATCCGTTGCTTGGCGTGGCACATCCCTAGTCGCGACGAGCTCTAAGCTCCCGACAAGTGTGAAGGTGCAGTGCATGTAAGTGTGTGTGTAAGTGTGTGTGTGTGTGTGTGTGTGTTTAAAGAGCAAAGAAGGCGGTCGAATGATTGCACTTCGTTCATGCTCAGTTTATTAGGGTAGTGTTTGGATATTCGCAGCTTTTACTAGAATTATTGTCTAGACATCTCGACGTATCTACCAGGAGAGGTGGCTCAGGACATCAACTGATGTCTGACCGGGAGGTCCTAGGTTCGAGTCCCAAGGGTGGTAGTATTTAAGTCTCTGGATTGTCAGTTAGAACGATTTGTACCGCTGTCTGGAGGAGAAATCGGGTGGTCGTCTGCTCTGGTCAGAAGTTTTCTGTGGTTTCTCCGATCACCATCAGGCGAATGCAGGAATAGTACTCTAACAAAAGGTCACTGACCGCGCACTATCTTTCCTTCCTCTTCCTTGTGATGACCTTACCCATTACTTATGCACACACATTCAC